TTCGATAGCGCGTCAGATCACGGTAGCAATTACAGGTATGTCTCGTATGGTGGCCGAAGGCTGACGCCACACATCGTTCTCAATTGAACTTGCAACGCGCATGGTGTTTTCCTCAGGTTCCTGATGACTGTAGATTAGGCGAGAAAGGGCGTCAGTCTGACCAAAGTCGGTAGTGCGGCAGTAGCGCATATCGAAACCGTAATTGAGAAGAATGACTGCCTTCAGTTGAAGAAGGCTGGTTAAATAAATCAAAATGCCCTGCTTTGAATCGAAGATTTTCAGCAACGGCTTATGATCAGACCATAGCGTGAAGTTACGACTGTAAGGGAGTTTGTGGAACTTATTGGTAGCAAAGATGACACATATCGCTTTCTTCTCAACTTGGCCATACTTCTTCTCAGCAGGGGCTTGACGTTCTAGATAAGTGCATGATTGCCTATTCGGACCCATCGGAAACATGATGTGAGATGTCGGCATAGACTCAATGATTGTAGGTATCGGCAGCAACGAAAGTCGACGGAGTCGGGTCATGTTGCGTGAACAGCAGATTCAAATACAGCGTTAACTTCAGCTGGACAAAGGCCTTTACACAGTCGGAAAACCAGCACCAGAAAGCATCCTCCTGCAGGGGGCTCGAAAGTCATACAGCAATGACAGGAGGCATTAAAGTAGAGGGTTTTGTTAAGAGAAGATCGAATACGTAATAAATAATTGAGCACAGGCATCTGTCGGATGGCAGGAGTATTTTTGGGATGTGGATGTCGACTACTGACATAAACGATCAATCCGAGATAAGTGATTTTGTAGAGGAAAGGTTGACACTTTTTAGCTCTCAAGCAGAACACTCGGTTTTGGAGCTCAACTGTGTAGCCATCCGTAATGATGATGTTGTGCATGCACGCAGCCGTACCACGAATTTTGGAAACGATTTAGTTCATCGTTTGCTGGAGCAGAGTCAGAGAATCTTTGACAGCAAAGGACAACGTGATGTGTCGAAATAGACCGCTGTGTATTCTTACCGTTAGCAATGCGCGCGACTCTATAGCGCCTTGGATCTGCCAGCACACATCAGCCATCTCCAACTTGACAAAGCAAGTGCCTCCGTTCAGCAGAGTGAAAATGTTAGGACAGTCTAACGAACAGCCTCAACAAGCACTTAACTTGCAACCAAGTAGCCGCGCACACCGAAGGCTATACATCGGCCTACACGCGAGCGAACGCATCGTGCAGTCAATCAATCAATAACTTTAAATTCAAAAAACAGTCAGCCGTTGAGTCAAGAGCCATTCCTACCGGCGACTATTTCAGGAGAGGAGCTGAATGGCCCAGTGGACATCGCATTACACTGTTTGTTGTCCTAAGTACGTTGTACCTATTACACTCAAAGACTTCTGGTTTTGCACACTTCTTGTCGTGTTTTTCCTATGGGGACTCACAGAATGCGTTATTGGGCGGTGATATCTCGGCCTGGGCTACTGCTACTACAGAGAAGATCAGCGAGGACCAATAGTCAATATCATTTCCGCGTCGGAGCCGGACTGAGACCAATATAAAATTCAGCGCAGATAGGGCTCGACCCCTTCGGCTTCTTACTCCTGAACATTGGAGCAGCCCAGATGGAGTAGTGTACAGATCTCAGAACTCCTGTTCCTCAAGGTGCTCCAGTTCCACATCGAAACGTGGGAAGGCTGCATACCGAACTGATCCCTTTAGACGGAAGACCGCTTGACTTCCAGGATAGAGATGAAACACGGCTTGCGCTGGTTTGCAATAACACAGACCGTCGCAAAACACTAGTACAAACCGCTGAAGAATGTTTTTGGCGGGGTTTGCACGTACAGCAGAAATTTTCAGTTGACTGCAAACCAGGCGGAGGGGCAAATCAACCAAATCAAGTCCTTCAGTCTAGTCAGGACCAAGAAGTTGTAGCTTAGAATTCGTAATGTAGCAAATAGCAGTGAT